TTAAAAATCAATATCAGAAACTATAAAAAAAAAAAAAAATCAATATCAGAGTCAGGAAGATCAAACCCTATATGGGCATGGGTATAGGTTATCGACAATCCCCATGAAATATTTGGTTTGAAAGTAATATCATTTTTATCCTATTAAGAATCAAGATAGATTTAAGTGTTAATTTCTTCAAAAACAAGTATAATTATTTCTTCAAAAACATGATAAATTAGGTGGAAATACATCAAATGCCCATCCATCAATTTGAAACCTAAATAAACTAAGCAATAATAAACGGTTTTTCTAACGGATGTTCGATATGCAGTTGTTAATACATTTAAATCATAGCTAACCTACCGTGTAAATACATATACTAGCAATTATTATCTTCATTTGTATCTATACACTTTTCCTAATTAAATTTACATTTTCAAAAATTAACACTCGAGCTATTTCCTAATGAGTGACCATTGGATACTTCTAATTCTACCGAATGATTCACCAAAAATTATTGGGCACTCTTCACACAAACCAATAATAAATTGCAACAATTAACACTTCTAGACTCTCTATTATTGAATGATTTTGGTAGTCATCTAGGAACAACAAATACCCTTATCAAATACCCTTTAAATGATACACCCCATCTTATTAGGGTGACAGTCTCTAACATGATCCTTCATTTTGTATGGGCGTACACACCAAAAGATGTAGGTGAGGATCCAAAACCCCTGCCGAGATCTGAAACTTGTGTTTGGATTGTAATTTTTTTTAAAAAAATTATTATATTTTTCGTGGACATATTTTTTAATTGTTTTTTTATTTTATATATATCAAATTATTACAATATTTTTTCTATATAAAAGGTCCAGAAAAATACAATACGAACAAAGTCTTTAATTTACTGTGATCCTGTCGAAATTCGTCCGGATTTTCTTTGAAATGCAAGATTTCCGGGGGCGTTTAAGACGGTTGAACCGTGAAATTGGTAGGGCGGAGTTGAATGGTGGTTCGGCGCAGTTTTGTATGGTTCTGCAATAACAGGTCAGACTGGTCAGTGACTTAGAAATGCACGTGGGTGGGGTGGGAGTACGGGACAACGTTGGACTTGCGCGGCTGGCGTCTACAGTTACCTGTTCCCTACTTTTTTGCCACAAAAAGTATAAGGTTTATTTAACAATTTTCCGTCGTTTGGAGTTGGCACGAATGATTTCGGGATAACTTAATTACGTTCTGTGATCGTACGTTCAAGTTACCTCTTTATCGCTTGTGTATCTTTGGGGATAAGGTGCACAGACATAAAAAAATTAGTCTGATAAAACTGAAATACTCCTTATATCGAAAAAAAAATTTAACAATATTTCAAATGAGTATTCCTTATTATACCTAAATTATACTACATGACTTGTTATGTTAATATACACAATCACAATGAACACACATAGGCCTGTCAACGGTCCAGGTCTAGACCCGGACTCGGATTGGATCTGTGAATTTTTTGCGGGTACGGGTAGGAATTTAATTCTGTTACCCGGACTCGGATCCGGAGTCGGATACGGAATATAGTATTCCGACCCGTATTAGACCAGCATTCGGATATAAATGGATTAATAATTTTAAATATATATATTTATCAATATAATTAGATTAGGGTGATGTATTTGAATAAAGTCAATTTGATTTCTTTTCTTATTTAGTTTTTTTGTATTAATTAGAAATTAGTTTACAAATATATTTTTTCTCATTTTTTATTAGAAGCCCGACCCGGATCCGAATCCGGAACATAGAGTAGGAGATCTGTCGAGTAAATGGGTCGGATCCGGTTTCGGATCCGGTTCCGATATGATATGTTGGGTCTGGGTCCGAAATAATAAATTCTAGCCCAGATCCAATCCGGATCTGAAACATAGAGTAGAAGATCCGTCAAGTAAATGGGTCGGATCCGGATCTGATATAATATGCTGGGTCCGGATCCGAAATAATAAATTCTGACCCAGACCCGACCCGTTGACAGGCCTAAACACACACCCCTTACATAGAACAGAATATTGAGGCTATTTAGGCAGACTGTGTTATTGAAATCTACTTATAGTTTTTTTGTGGTGACGCAAATTAATTCGGAAAATGACATAAGAATTACTTTTTTATTCTTTTATTTTAATTCAAAGGAGATCCTAAAGTTTACAAAGGGAAAAAAAATAGAAGGGAAGACTTGAGAGTTAAACTAAGGATGCCATGGTCTCTAAGTTAAAACTGGGTTGGATCTTAAAAGGACGTACAGAATCATGTATGTTTAGCAACTTAGCATTTGCACATAATGTTTGGAGCTTTACAAAAGACCATTTTCATAAACTAGAAAGCGTTGCGGATGGCAGCAAACAAACTCTCTTACTATAAAACCAGGAGAATAGGCTTTTTGTCCTTTTTTTTGGTTGTAAGTAAAACTTGACGAGTGCAGGTTTTTCCTCTTGAAACAATTTTATCACAAGCTCTAAAATAGTGCTTCAAAATCAAGTGCTGTCACAATTGTCCTGATTTGGTAGATATTTGATGCCAAACCAAAGATAATTTTTAGACAATTAGAGTAATAGCTGTCTTACCTAATCATCCCCGAGAGGAAAATAAAAACCCAAAAAAAAAATTTGACTGTTAGATATTGTTCATTATGGAAAGAAGAACTCCATCAAGAATTGGCTCAAATAAGGTTGATCTTGATTCTATCATTTTTTTTTTTACGTGTGACAAATACTTTTGGATATCAAATTTTTTCAAATAATATTTCACTTATATCATAATCATATCTTTATTTTACATATATTATATTATAAAAAATATTATAATAATTATTTTAAATAATAACTCTATTCTGTCCACACAAACTTACCTAATTATAAAAGGCTGTACTGACCATACAACAAGCTTTGGTTGCATGGCTGTACTGACCATACAAAATTAAATGACTGCAACTTGCAAGATGGGAATATGCCTCTTGCATGTGCTTTCCGTCTATGAATGAAAAACATCTGTCCAAAGGCAAAGAAATTTCGTGGTAGGTGGGATACAGTGATAGGATGGGACAAGATCTATAAGTAATTTTGGCTTTTTATTGTGTTTGGCACTGGTGTCAATGTTGAGGGAGGTTTCGTGACAAGGGAGGTTGAGTGTCAGTCATGAATCTTGCCGGGGGACACGATTATGCAAAATGATTTCCTTGTACTATGTTAAGGCTTGACTAATCATTTGCAATTGACCTACAAAAACATCAAAGGTAACTAAAAATCACCTTAGACTGTGCTTAGCAGTAGAATTTCAATTAACTCTAAACGTTAATCTAATTTTGTTGTATGATTTCAATTATTGAAAAAATCAAGAAATTTGGTAAGGCAGTGCTCGAGGGAGGGGATGGATCATCCATCCCACATTAACAGATCGTGGATAGTTACCCTGGATTTAAAGTTCTCAACTGCACTTTCTCATCAAGGGAATTGTGGGTTCAGTTCCTCAAAGTCTCCAAGTTAAATTTTATGGTATTATATTAGTATCTTATTGATATACTTTGCCGTACGTAGTTTAGGGTTGTTTTCACTTCAATATGGTAACAAGAAGAAGAAGAAGAAGAAGATGAGGAGGACGAGGAGAAGGAGAATTGTTGCAACTTGCAAAGCCAATGAGCTGGTGGTGCTAAATCAAATAGTTTATAGTTCTTTTTTTTTAAGTAGATTTTTTTTTTATTTTCTCAAACGCTCGTGTGTTTTCTTTAACTTGAAAATTTGAGGTCATCAACCAGAATTGTCACTCGTGTGACCTTCAACCTTTTGGGTAAATGATATAAACATTATTGAAGATTAATATTAGTGGCTGTGAGAGTTCAGAAATGAGAAATCCTGATGGAGACTAGATACCAAATGACGGGGGAATAAGTACGATTGTTAGTACAAGCGTTCTTGAATAATGTAATTATTATTGGGAGAATGGATGGGTTGGGTGGTTTGAAAGGAAGGAACGTAAGTGAGAGATTTCGAATTCAAGCATTCACGCTTACACTAAAAGGACAAAAAAAAAAAAGAAAAGAACAATGTAATTGTTATTAATTAAACACACTGTAATGCACTATAAACTATATGTATAATTTTATAACATAGATATTATACTTACTAATGAGTCCTTAGATTTGAAAAGTTTTGAATCGTAAAACGTTATCAAAAAGCAATGGAGACACAAAAGGTGCATTTGTCATCATATTAGTAAACACTTATCTATTATTTTGTACATTAATTGATTAAACTTTCGCTAATATGTTTATAACATCGTGCTAACACCATCCAGTTTTTGAATTCCAGTTAAACCCCCTTCGCCTCTGACTCCTAAGCTTCACCGATTCGCCTCCTAGTCCATGATTAAAAACATAGGCTCACACTTCACACAAAGTATTTTCTTTTCTGTAAACAGTGCTTCAATATACTTTTAGTAAAATTAAACATATTGTTTGCTCATTCATTTCTTTTCTTATCACCCTATACTCATCTCCTTCCTCCTTCCCCACCATTTTTTATTTATTATTTATTTTATCAAGAAAAGGGCGAGATACAAAAAGTACCGGAAATTCTAATTTCAAGGGTCTCAACCTCTCTTCCCCCGGCCAATGGGCGCTGTAATAGATTAACCATCATGATACTTGGTAGTATTTATTAGTGATTCAAATTTTATTAAATAACTGATGTAGAGGAGGAGGGATGAATTGGATGATTTGGACGGAGGGAATATAGGTGAGAAGTTTTGGATTCAAGTCTTCTTATTTACACTTAAAAACAAAAAATTGGTGTAAGAAAAGGTGGAATCTATTCCAGAAGAAGTAGAATTTTAGAAAAATAAAAAGTAGTGGAACTAACAAAATTGTTCGGGCCAGCCCAACCAAAGATGAGAAGACAACAATTCAAAAGTGCTTGGGCCTATCGACTAAGTAAAGTGAAGGAATTCGAGGGAACTGTCTTTCACAGTTGGTTTGTTGTTGTTTGGAAAAATGATGAGTAGGATGATTCCACTTCTGATCCTCGGCCCTCCTCACTCTTCAAATCCTGACAAATTCGTGATTTAGACACAAGGAAAATGGCAGCGGAAAAACCACAGCCGGTTCAAGTTCCCTACTGCCAGGTTTGCACGTTACCTGCAGAGTACTGCGAATTCGGGCGGGATTTTGAGAAATGCAAGCCCTGGTTGATCCGCAACGTTCCCAATCTCTACCCACACCTCCTCCAAGGTTGCACTAATCCTTTTAATTTTTTTCCCCAATAAACATTTTCTCTTTTTTATGCTAGAATTAAATACCATACTTGCTCACCAGTTTCATTTTTTTTTTTTAAATTTTAATTCTTTTGGGGGGTTTTGTTTGGTAGAGGCGAATGATAAAGAAGCAGAGAAGCTATCAGAGCAGCTTCAAGGGTCTGGTATATCCCCAGCTGGATCACCAGCTGCAACCGCTGGTGAGTTTTTTTTTGTTTTTTAATATACTCGTGATCAAGCACATTTTTGAGATTTTGTTTTGTTTTTATATTTTAAGCAATTGCTAATTGGAATCTGTTATAATTTAGATTACTAGAATGCTGAAAGTGGAAAGTTTGAAAAAAAAAAAGAATGTTTAAGGTATAGATATCTGTATTGTTTCAGCCATTGTTATGCATCTGCATCTTTCAGCAAATTTTTACAACAGGAAAGAAGTGATTTTTTTTTCCTGTGGAAAAGCTTATCAGAGAGAGATGAATTGGCATCTTATTGAATCATATGTAGAATGAAATTTCTATGACAAGCAGATTAATACCTGAAACCATTTTGCCTTCAAAGTTTAGTTTCTAAGTGAGCAGCTTGTAATCTGGCAAACTGTATATCTAAGTTGTAGCTGAAGAGTATCTTTACCAGACTAGAGATGTCTGTATTGATTCTGGTTATACTTTACCAAGTTTCGGTGCATTTTAGGGGAACCTTCAGCCAGCAAGCAAGAAGATGTCAAACGACTTCCTGGTGGAAAAATTAAGAGAAAGGTAAGTCTTATCTTCTAAGCACCGTCAGTTTTGGTTGTTTAGCTAGCTGGCTAAAATGTTTTGGCAAGAAGAAAGTTTTTCATATCAATAGCTAATCTATGAAATAGGGTGCTGTTTCTTTGGTTAGATAAATAATTTTCAATATTAAGATGCGAATTGTACATGTTCAGGAAGGTTGCATAACAAACTACATGCAGGATTATATATGAATCTGGCATATACTATTGTTTACATGTCTATATGGTGGAAATTTTGACATATATGTGAACATCAGTTAATTTCACACCCACATCTATTCATTTTAGTCATGGATATCCATGGCTTCAAATTCTTCATGCTGGGATGTTTTCATGCTCACTTGTTTTACACTAAGCCTGAATTCTGATCAGAGTGTGTAACCACGTTAATTTGTGGTGTTGTTTGGCTTTATGTCATGACTTTTATGTGGTTTTGCTTGATATGAACAGCACATTGGGTGGTAGTGACTCATGAAAACGGGGATTTAATGTATCTGAATCGACGGCATACGTAATGAAGTTTTTTTTGAAAATCTATTTTAATGCTTTATTATTCAAATTTTCTTTTCGAGCTAATAATCCAAAATGTCTTCTTGCAATTGCTACCTGATCTGTTTATTCACAACAATTAGTGATACATAAACTTTGTAAAATATTAGAGCAAATCAGTTGTTACTTCCCCCCCCCCCCCTTCCTCCCAAAAAAAAGGGAAAAAAATCCTTCTTGTACTTTATTGTTGTTTGGTCGATAGATTCCCATTACTCAGATACAGTATATGTGCAAATGATGGAATGCTGTTTCTGTTAACACTTTTGTGTTTTTTGATGCTTGACATTTTGGCCATCAAGGATGGTTAAGTGATGATGATTCTGCTGGAAAACTAACAAAGACTGACACATGCTGATGGAGATATTTTGCAGGAGAAACAAGAAGTTGTTATTGAAAAGATTGTGCGGAATAAACGCAAATGTATCACCACAGTAAAAGGATTAGAACTATTTGGTAAGTATGATGCTGATTTCATTCTATGAAAACTTGAAATTAATTTGATGTGGAGTTCAGACATTGTTAATACATGTTGCAGGTATTAAACTTAGTGATGCTTCAAAGAAGTTTGGAAAGAAATTTGCTACAGGTGCATCTGTAGTTAAGGTAATAGCTAATTGGGTGATGCATTTGTAGCATTATATGTGTTGGTTGACTGTACCATTTGTTGCTGGTTGTAGGGACCGACTGAGAAGGATCAAATTGATGTTCAAGGAGATATTGCTTATGACGTAGTAGACTTCATTAGAGAAACATGGGCTGAGGTAACTTCCTGAGACCGCTTCTCTTTTAGTTGGATTTTGATTCAAAAGACTTGATTTTGCGAAATAGGAAGACACTTTTGTGGTAGAAAAACATTGACAGTTAAATGTACTCCTGCTGAATCAGAAGGCTATATAAATTGTTACTGGAAATTGATAAAGGCGCATAAGGGTTAGTCCTTGCTCCATAATGTTGTATATGACAGTTCATTTGATATTCTCGTATGTTTTTTGTTTAAATGTTGAATGTGCTCGTAGCATGCCGCTAGTCTGTTTTTCGTTTTTGGTTCTTGTAAAATTGCATCAACTGTGAGAATTATTTAAAAAGGAATACAATTCCTGAAAATCCAGGTATTTTTGTTCAGTCTAAATTATTCTCTTTATGCTGTGCCATTCCAGGTGCCAGAAAGCGCTATATTCTTTATTGAGGATGGGAAAAGGGTATCTGCAGCTTGAGCTTTTAGTTTGTGCCATGAGGAGTTGATGCTAAATTTTGGTCGCATGCTAGCAGAGATTTTGAGTTGATGACATGCTGGAAAGCAATCTCTCTTTTGTGCCTGTTATTAGGCCTGTCAATCGGGCCTAATGAACCGGGCTTTGATGAGTTCAAACTCAGCTCATTTAATTTGAGACATTTTCGGGCTTCGGGCTATGAGTTTCGGGTTCGTAAATGTGAAGCTCATACTCAGCTCACATAATATTCGGATTGTGAGCCTTAATCGGGCTTAGCCCAAGCTCACTTATTACTCCTGAATTTTCTTAATATAATTGCTATAACTATTAAGTTGTAAAACTAATTTAACATTTACAAGACTATAATATTAAAACTAAACATGAACAAATAATAGTTCTTAAAAAGTATATAAACCAAAATTTTTTCAACAATATTTATATGTAATCCGTTTAAAATGCATGAAAAATAGTAATAAAACATGCAATCATAAGCCAATACATCTTTAAAAGTTGAAACTTTTTTTTATAATCTTGTGATTTAAATCCAAATATGCTTGATGATTTTTGTGTTTGTAGACCAAAAAAAAAAAATCAACCAATAATATGCCAATACAAAAAGTTACTCAACCAATAAGAAAAATTAGAGATTTAGTTATGCATTACTAATATTGGCTCTCAAGAAAGTTCATGAAAGAGTCTTTAGATGTGTTTTTGTGTTTTGTAATTTATATATATATTTAGTATTTAGCAAAAATATATTTGGATATATAATTATACATAATATCAAAATATAAATATTATATATATAGGTAATTAAAGGGCCGGGCCTATATCGGGTATGAGCCTAATAAGGCCCAAGCTCGGCTCACATTTAATTCGGATCTAATTTTTAGGCTCAAGTTCAGACCGGCTCACTAAATGATCGGGCTCATCGGGCTTTCTGTCGGGCCGAACGAGCCGAGCTCGGGCTGGCCCAGCCCCATTGACAGTCCTACCTGTTATGACAGTTAATTCAGATGTCAAAATTTGCAAGATAATATCTACTTTAGGTCTAGGTAAACGACTTACAATTACATTAGCCCCTCCATTCTTCGATAGAGATGTTAAAATTTGCAGTTGGGGTTTATATACAGAGCTTTGTACAGGAAGAAGAAGAGAATCCAATGTACCGGTGTACCATTTTTGGATAAAACATGGTGTCGTATTTTTCATAGGAACGTGTTCCTTCTTAGTTAAAACTTTGAATGTCTTAAACATGTAACTAACCATCAAGAACCCAAATTTGTACAGATCGATATTTCTCAGCACAGAAAAAGATAAACCTTAGCTGACAATTGATCTATTTGGTCTTCAAAGAATCCCTTCCTGCTAATGGATTTTTTGTTGCTGCTGGTATTTGCTGCTGCTGCTTGGTAATGCATATTTTCTGTTGCTAAAAACCCCTAATTTGGAAATTCTACGCCAAATCTAAGGGAATTCCTTCTAGTTGCTATTGTTTACCTGTTAATATTATTGTTTTGGGAATCACATTTTCGGCCTTCGATTTCTTTGTGTAAGTTCTGAGCAAAAGAACGGACGCAAGGTTTCTTTTGACAGAAAGCGGTGGCTTGTAACTAGGGGTGCAAACGAGCCGAGTCGAGTCGAGCTTTGGCCTTATCGAGTCGAGCCTTAACTTAATTTCATCGAACTCGAGCTCGAGCTCGACGAGCTGGTAATTTTCAAACTCGAGCTCGAGTTCGACTCGATTCGAGCCCAGCTCGAGCTCGAGTTCGAACTCGAAAAAAATAAAAAATAATTATTTAATTTTTTAAAAAATAAATAAAATAATATTTTTTCTTAATAAATAATAAAATATTAAGGATATTTATGTAATTTTACTATTAAAAATAAAAATAAAAAAAATAAATATATATATACTCGAGCTCGCGAGCCTAACGAGCTTAATGTTTTGAGCTCGAGCTCGAGCTCGACTCTAGCTCGAGCAGCTCGAGCTCGACTCGAGCTCGACTCGAGCGGCTCTAGAGCGGCTCGATTCGTTTGCACCCCTACTTGTAACTCGAATATAATGTTCAAAATAGATGAAAGACCTCAGCAGAGTATTGGGTTCGACTCCGAGTGACTATTCTCAGCAGTATCATTGCTGCTGCCTCAAGCAATGAAGTGTGGTTGAAATTATTTGAAGTCTAGTCGTGTCTTGCGAACCGCCAAAACCTTTCTCTGTAGCTGGGAATCGGGGTCAGCAAAGCAACAAAAATTTCGTTACTATATTTCGCGGCCAGGATCAACGAGCCAAATGTTACATTCATCCATGCAGTAAAGTTACCTTGTTTGATTGTCATTTTTATTTTAATTTTTTTAAAATATTTTTTATGAACATATTTTTCAATCGTTTTTTTATTTCATACATATTAAATTGTTACAGTACACTTAAAAAAAAAAAGCAATTTGAAAGGGCTCGCAATTGAAGGTTTAAATCATACTCTTTTTATTAAATTTACCTCCTAGCACCGAAGAAATAAATAAGAACTTTGGGGGAATAAGAAGATCAGATCAAATCAAATCATGAGAAAGTCAACAAAATGAGAAACCCAGGAAGCTCAGTAGCCACCGCCTTTTCTGGTGGGGTGGGAGGTCAGTGGTTCAACCCTTGTCTCCCATCAAATTGTCTGTTTCTTATGGACAACTCGGTTAATCTCAGCAATCCTCCTTAGGAGCTGGTGTCTAGTGCCCGCAAGGGTCCGAGTCCTGTAGTTATCGTGTTCGGGGGGATGGGGTCTCTCCTTCCTGACCAAAGTGAGATTAGTCGGGCCCGTAAAAATTGACCGGAACACCCACTCCGTCAGCAAAAAAAAAAAAAAAACCCAGCAGGAAGGTTTGGAAAAGGTAAGGGTACAAATGTAACTTAACATCTAGCATTATACTATCGAGCATATCCAGAATATCCCCTTGAGCCATTGCTATTGATGCTCCCGAAAGGACGGACCAGTAGTAAGTACCTTGAAAAACACAGCCGAAGGAAAATCCATCCCCCTGGAGACTTGAGTAGAGCTCGTAGACACTGATGTGAGTGATCAATTTTCATCTGGAAGTTGGATTCTTGACAGACCCTTTCGGATTTGCTCTCTGATTCTTCTGTCGTATTAAGGTAAATAATTGTCCAACTCGACTAATTCTCATCAATCTCTCTGGCTCTGAAGTTTCGGTAGCATGCCTTTTGCTGCCGTTGCTCTCTCTCTTCTCTTTCTCTCAATCTGTTTATGTAGTCCAATTTTTGCTGGTCTGTGAACCGTAATTTTTGTAGCACAGCTTGGTTAATTCTTGACTTGGATAGTAGGCTGAAGACTTGAAAAAAAAAAAGAGAGTAAAGCAGGGGTCTTTTGTTCTTGTGATGGACTGGGCATTCAAATAGCAATGGACTAGTTAAAGAATGCAGAACTGTTGGAAAAGAAGTAAAAGGCTTACTCATTATGCAAATTTTCATTTTGCTTTTTACTAATCTCAGCGTTGCATTTGAACTTTGGAGTTGGTTAACTTAAAAAGTTGAATAAAATGGCTTGTTTTTTATCACAATGATTCTTTGTCAGTCTGCTTCTTGTATTTATATAGAGCAGCAAAGTAGTGACTTCGAAGATTGATTTCGAGTTTAAGTACAAACTCTGCAGGTTTAATACAGTTAAGAGTACAATTGGCAGCTACTATGGCGCACTTGCTTTCTACCTCTTGTTCTTTGAATATCCCTCCGAGCTGCAAAAAGCCAAAATGCTTGTTAGTGAATCAGTGTTCATCATCGGGATTTCCCGCATCTTTTAGTTTGCCAACTTCAACCTCTCGTTCGAAAATGCTCATCCTGCATGGAAAAGGGCCAAAAAGATCCTCCACCATCTATGCTATGGCTGTTTCTCTGAGTCAAGAATCCAAAGCTCAGCCTGGCTCTAGCTTTCCTCAAGAAACCGGTGAAGCTGGTAGTCCAAAGAAGGTCATGGTTATTGGTGGTGATGGTTACTGTGGTTGGGCTACTGCACTCCATCTATCAAACAGAAACTATGAAGTTGCTATTGTTGACAACCTTGTTCGTCGCCTTTTTGACCACCAGCTCGGTCTTGACTCCCTCACACCTATTTCGTCTATCCATAATCGTATCCGTTGTTGGAAGTCCCTTACTGGCAAGGATATCCAACTTCACATCGGGGATATATGTGACTTTGAGTTCCTGGCTGAGACTTTTAAGTCATTTGAACCTGATGCTGTTGTCCACTTTGGAGAGCAGAGATCTGCTCCTTACTCCATGATTGATAGGTCAAGAGCTGTATTTACCCAACAGAACAATGTCATTGGGACACTTAATGTTCTGTTTGCCATAAAGGAATATAGAGATGAGTGTCACTTGGTGAAGCTTGGAACCATGGGAGAGTATGGGACCCCAAACATAGACATTGAGGAAGGTTATATTACAATTACTCATAATGGAAGGACAGACACTCTGCCTTATCCCAAGCAGGCAAGTTCTTTCTATCATTTGAGTAAGGTTCATGATTCCCATAATATTGCATTTACTTGCAAGGCGTGGGGAATCCGAGCCACTGATCTAAACCAAGGAGTAGTTTATGGTCTGAGAACAGATGAGACTGCAATGCATGATGAGCTATGTAATAGATTTGATTATGATGGAGTTTTTGGAACTGCGTTAAATAGGTTTTGTGTTCAGGCTGCTGTCGGTCATCCACTTACTGTCTATGGCAAAGGGGGCCAGGTATTTTCTCCTTTCATGTCTCTGTCACATTAATCATATGATATTTCCTGCAGAACTGGAGATGCTTCTCAGCTGCAAACTGCGAGTAGTTATATTGCAATAGGCACAGTCTAATATCTATTTCTTTTCCTGTGTGAAAACATCATGAATCGATAGATGGGTAGTTCCTACTGTTATTAGTCACTGGAAACAACAAATTTAAACTCTTAGCACATTCAGCAAATAAAACTGTGCAACACATATTGCATAAGCCTCCTCCATCGGATTACATGGGACCTAATAGGTTTGTCTGTCACGTGCTTCATAGATCTACATATTGAAGCAGTATTATGTTCTGAAATGGTATATTAATTGACAAAGTCTTGAGTACCTAGGTAAGATTAGTTTTTATAGTTCACATTTTTGGTATGGTTTTGCTAGAAGGCAGCTGAAGCTTCCTCTTGAAATCACTTATAAGTCCATCCCTATTTTAGGCTAGTTATCTGGAACTTCCGAGGAAAGTATGTAATAACATGAACCTGCCATTATAATGGATAATAACCGAGTTGCTGCCTGTTGTCTCGAGAAGGTTAAATCTGGATATTGAACGTATAGTTATGCTGATTTGGAGATTACATGACCTAGGTCCAAAGTACTCTTGGCTAACTACCTTCTGAACTTGGATGTAAATTGATGCCCATAGACGATAGTTTGAAATCTGCTGATATGATGTTGGGTTTGGATGGGAAAAATGAGTTTTTTTATCTGGATTGCCATAATCTTTATGCAGCCTCTGTAGGGTAAGCCACTGCTGGAGAAGCTACTCCAGATTCCTTTCTTATTTTTTAAATTTTCTAAATTTCTTTGGCTGAGACTCACTGAAGTATTCTGACTATAGGGCTTGAATTTGGAAATGCATCATTCTGATGTTAATAGGAACTAGGAAGTGCTTTTTGTTTTTGGCTGCATAAAAAAAAAAAACGAAGGGTGTGGCACTTGAAGCTAGGGTGGTTTTGCAGTCACCAACTCACTCAAGTGCTTCAATCGATACTTCTAACTTTATTTCATCTTCATCCATGTTCTTTTGTGATCTACTGAATATTTGTAATGCATTCTTTTTGTACAATGCAGACCAGGGGATATCTAGATATAAGAGACACAGTTCAGTGTGTTGAGCTTGCAATTGCTAATCCAGCACAGAGAGGAGAATTCAGGGTCTTCAATCAATTCACGGAGCAGTTTTCTGTCAATGAACTTGCAGCCCTTGTCACGAAAGCTGGAGAAAAACTTGGCATTGAGGTGAAAACAGTATCTGTGCCCAACCCCAGAGTAGAGGCAGAGGAGCATTACTATAATGCCAAACATACAAAACTCATTGAGTTGGGTCTCAAGCCCCACCTTCTCTCTGACGCTCTTCTTGACTCGCTGTTGAACTTTGCCATCAAGTATAAGGATCGTGTTGATCCCAAACAGATAATGCCCAGTGTTTCTTGGAGAAAAATTGGTGTCAAGCCAAAAACTGTTGCAGTATAAAAGAGTGTTGAATGGTACTAGTTTCAGTACTGATTGTCTACTATTATACTGCTGTAACCGTTTCTGATGGGGTGTTGTATCTTACTGAACTCCTTGCATATTGTCGGCATTAGCATCCAGCAGCCTTCCGACTGTAAATTTTGGTAGGACGTAGAAAACTCTAGCAGTAACTCCATCATCCCTGTAATGTCAGTAACCTAGAAGAGTCTTTGGTGTATCACGTTTATTAATTTTCTAGATGAATAAAGTTGTTTTCTAAATTTGTTGAAAATTGAACAAATGCCCTATACATGCGACTACAATCTTATACTCCAAAAATTTTTCCTGTCTTCGACAGATGGGGGGACATGTATGAATACTCCTTTCCTTGACGATGAAAATACAGCCTACGGCAGAACAAGCATCCGGTTGAAATACATAATCGAAGTGCTTAGCTGTTCTGTTGATTTGAGTTGGTGGATCTTGTTTATATTCATAATGCATATGACATGAATTGCTTGTAACTGGTATTGAGAATCATAAAGCAAAACTGAATACTAAATTTGAATCTTCGACTCACTGAGGAAAAAACATATGAAAGAGATGGTTCATATATTTTATCTTCTGCACAGCGTTTTTGTTTTTTTGACATATTGTGCTGTAACATGTTTTTCAGTAAACTACAGTCCATGTACTAATCCCTAGTTCTTAAAGACCCTAACTGCATCATTATCCATCGAGGTAGTCTTCAGCTATCACCGTTGGTTGGTACCATGAGGGGGGAATCAATGTTGTCATCCAGGAACCATGTTACGGTTGGTATGAAGCAACAGAGTCAGACATGTAACTGGATTCTCTTAAAATCCATTTGTCCAGAACCATAATCACTATCCTCGTATCAGAATCGGGAATGGATAAATCTATGCACTCTTCTGCATTCTGTAAGCCCATTCGTTACAAAATCCAGTACAACTGAAGCCAATTCATGTTGATGCGAAGTGAAATAATGATCTGCGCCTTCAAAAATGTGTAGTATATGATTAGGTATGTGCTTTGCAAACTCCTTGGCATCACTGACAGGAACAAATTCATCCACGGAACCTTGAACTGTCAACACCCTACATACACGTACAGAATATGGAAAGATAATGAAAATATGTTTCATAACGAAGATCCTGATATAGAATACTCTTCAAAATTGAATTGATAACAACAGTTCAATCATAATTCGATAAACAAGAATCACCAATCCCTACCTGCAGTTTCTGTCGATCTTTTGGCAAGCTGCACGAGTATCAGTTGCTAGACGGTCCATCAAACTTTCCTTAGATACACGATACTTGGTCTTTCCTACATAGAAATACCCCATGTGAGACATAACTTGGCTCGAAGGCAATTATTTATTTCCTTACCTCTCATACACAATTTTTCCATAAGTGATTTCTTTCTGGACAATACAAGGAAACCAACATGCAGCACTTGAGTACAAAACCAAACTCATACAAGAAGATGAATCACGGTCTTAGCTACCCCTTCTGTTCTTGACGTCAATAAATCCATTCTGCTCAATTTTCTCCAGAAAGTCTTTACCCAAGCGACCTTCAATTCCTCGCTCAAGATTGAAGCGGCCAGCGATATTGACAATAATTTGTATGTCATTATCCCTTGAAGCATACAACAGCACAGCATTTCCTCCTAAAAAATCTCAACTGAACAGCTTGTCAGGTGACTGGAAGGAATCTAGAAGTTCGGACAGTAAATCAATGTTTGAACTTAGTCGAATAGCTTATGTACCTTTACTATGCCCGACAAGTGCAGCTACAAAACATTTCTCTTCCTGGAAGTGTTGAATTACTGCACGCAAGTCATCTGCTTCTCTATGGTAGTTACCATACTGAAATGATCCTTCACTTTCTCTGGGAAGCAAGAATACCACATGTTTGTCATGAATGAGTTCGTACAAAAATCAACTAAAGAAAAGAATGTGGAGATAGCTTTTTGTGCTCAAATGAAGAAATATTGTCTTCTTCAACTCTTTTACAAGCTTTTGCACCAATCTTTGGCTATGTATTGGCTCCAACCAGCTTAAGTTCTAATATGTAAAGGTTTGAGAAGTGAGTGCCCTACTACTTTGCATCAAAGAAAATGAAAGGCCTGTTAGAAAGAAAATCAAAGAAAAATTACTTATCTAGTTCCATTTTACAAGCCTTTCTGCTAGGTACTTCTATTTAGATCTATTTACAAGGTTGATCAAACACTTGTGAAAAGCACTCAGGAACTATGTGACAGTGATCAGAAGTAAGATAAGCATATACATGACAACTCTCAAGAAAGGTTCCTATAACAAACTAAGCAGACTGTCATTTACTAATTGCACAGAAACTTTGACTAAATGTTCAAAATTCATGATTTGAAGGGTGGACAGTATGTAAATTACACTGCATTTACACAAGTTAATATTGTTTCCCTTCTTTAGCCGTCTTGGGTAATGTTCCTCTCAATCTTTTACTAGCACTAGTAGGTAAGATCGCCCCTATCTTGTGTTGCATTACACACCTTGAAGAGTTTGATTAAACATATCTACAAAATGACAATATAGAAGTAAACATTTCCAAGAGTTTCCCCATATATATTTTGTCCTACAAGATCCTCTTCAGAAAAGTAAAGCAAGCATCATATAAAAAATTAGGGAAATGGTAAATGTTAAAAAAGACAGAATGTACTTGATCCTTTGTACTCTGAAAATCTGCTAAAAGGATCATTCCATAGGATGAAGAGGGAACATAAGTATACAGCCAATTTATGTGCAGGAACCCAAATCTGGAGGGCAATATTAATCTCTATCTTCACACCTAATTTTCACTGAAAAGGGTCTCAGATTGAAGATATAGTACAATTTTATTCTTAAATTTTTTCTTCTCTTAGACCATTGTTTGAAGAGGATGTGTCAAATTTTAATCTAAACATGCATTTTTTCTCAAGATGTCTGATGTCCTGACTGGGTCAAGAACAAAAATTTTGGTGATATTTCTGAAGAGACATGTCGGGAGGAGTAGCGTGTCAGTGGCTAGTCACTTACCCATTCCCAGCAAAATCAAAGCGGAAGGCACTAATTCCTTCTTTTTCAAAAGCAGCTGCTAGATTCACCATGGGAATGCGATCCTGAAGTTTATGAGAAGGGAACAACATTAATGGATTGAATGATCAAGGTAGTCCTTAGCAACAAATATACTGTAGCAATCAAAAAGTAATGATACAATGAAATTGATTTAGAAATGGGATCTTCCTGATGATCATACAACAAAGTGCTTGTAACAAAATACAGAAAAAAAGACACTTCAGGCTCCCAACACATACTTACAAGAACATGTTACCTCTCCACTGTTACACACTTACAAAAATTTTGAAGATTATAAAAACTGTATGTGATTTGAGTGTATAATATCAGGGATATAATAAGACCAGGCGTTTATGTTTTAGACAAGTTCAGGCAGGCAGGAAAATAGACTTTTTTTTTTGGAGCATGGGACCCGTCAACATTCCTTCTTCAGAAGTTTTGGCGAATGCCATCTGTAAGGAGGGATGCAGATAAAATGTTTGTGCATATGACATGCATCTAAAAAAAAGTTTTGTTATTTTCAATTCATCTACAGCACCAAATGGGATGGAGATTGCAAAATTTTTGCAAAGATGCTCATCAGATAATGCTGAAAATGAGATTGCAGATAATTCCACCAAGTAAATAAAGAAGCAAACAGAGCATTAGAGTGGAGAACTACCAAAATATAGAAAACTTTCTCATCCTAAAACATCCAGTTATAGAGATGGCAAACACCAACCTTTGAAGATCTAAATCCATGACAGATAATCACAACCTCCTTCGACCCCGTTTCATGCAATATCCCCACAAGCTTCTCACCATATCTGTTCTGTATACGTACTCTCTTTTGTTCATGGGTCCCTGCCAAGAAGTTAACAAAGAAATGAGTCCTGATCACCTCAATAGGTCACCTAAATCCAGCAAGTTGCCAACTTTTAGGGGATCATCACTGACAAGTGAATTAACTGAAGAACTCTGTATCAAACATGTCTCGCTATATGCACCGGGACCAATCCCAAAAGAGACCCTGATAAAAGAGCGAGAGAGATAAAAGAGACCCTGATAATATTTTTTTTTGCAAAATTGTGGGAATTCCCCATAAATCAAGAAGCCAATAATCAGAACCAATTCCAGCACGCAAAATTACACAAGAAACCAGGAATAGCTAAAAGAAGATAATTCATTTTGTATAGAACCCATAATTTGTACAAAGTAGAAAATGCTACGGAAGCCGTGATCACCAGCAAATTTGATAATGTTTGAACATTTTCTTGAAAGGTTCTGCAAAAAGCAATCAACTTTCTGATTGCCCCCTTCTTCTTGTACCCCAGTCTCTCAATTGTACTATATAGTATCTTTTATTTCTTCACTTATTTTTGTATTGGTGTGTTTACCTTACACGAGAATATTAATGGACCTACCCGGCTGGTGGCTGCTGTCGTTGTGGTGGTGATGGTGCTCTTTGCCTTCGTGGACTGCCATTTTAGCTCCTGTATTTGACCTTTCTGGATTACTACAATGATTCAACTATACTGCTTTTCTGCTCCTGCAACTTTTCTTTTTTTATTTATTTATTATTATTATTTTGGACAACCTTGCAGGACCCATCGCTTACGAGCAAAATAACTACCCTTGTTTGAAAAAACAAAAAGGGAAAATTTTTTTGTATGTACACATGTTTATGTGGGATGAAGCGATACAACACGAGTTGGAGGAAACCTACCTAAACTAAAAGGATAGAAAGAGATGGGAATTCGAACATAATTTTTTTTTTTATATCATAAACACGTTTTTTAACATATTTTAATATCTATTTATGTCATATATATTGTATCATTAAAATAAGTACTACAGTATTATTCTAAACTTATTAATAAATCATTTCTTTGAATGGTATAACATCTACCATGTTCACGTAAAAGTGAGTTTTTATAAGAGTGAACGCTTGAAATAAGCGTTTTTTTTATATAAGTGTTGAAATTCACTTTTTTTAATTTCATTTACTACTAATATGGGAGAGAAGTTTAAACAAGTATTAATTAATTTTGGGGCAAGAATGAGTTGGATAGTTCAAAAGAAAGAATATAAGCGATAAGTTCCAGTTTTAAGCCCTTCCATTTACATAAAAAAAATTATTAATTAATTTTATTTAAGGTCACCTTGCAACTGTCCCTACGTATAGATCACGTAGATGTCTAAGATAAACAAGTAATTCTACCATCCCTTCGTATTAAATGGCGCGGCAAAAAAAAAAAAAGACGTTTCTTTAAGAATGGAATTCCAGAAGTGGAGAGGTGCACAGGAAAATACACAGAAAAGTAGACAGCTCTTTGATCGAGGAGCACCTCCTTATCAATGGATTGACAAGCCAAGAATCCAAAATTCGATTTCAGTGCCTTCAATTGCAAACCAGCGTCCTTGAACTGCTGGTCCTAATTGTGATGGTTGAGTTCTGAGCAGGAGGATCCTGCATTCACTTTGCAATTGCCAGTTGTTAACGATCCCCATTCATGTGGCAACTGTTTCTATTTTTGTTCAAGTTTTTTAGTCATAATTTTCACTCTTTCTGCGTATTTCTAGCATGCAAACACCATCAAATGTCTGAATATTCTCATATGACGGATCCTTAGTACGCAAATCTTTTCACTAACAGGTTGGAAGGAAGCAGTCTAATCTAGACTTAAATGAGTTAAAAGAGCCAAATCCTCTTATGTACTCGTTACACTAATCCCGCATTTACACCCCTTCTAGCCCTCGCCAGGCTCCAATACAACCTTCCGCAGATTCTACATTTGTATAGCACAAAACAAGCACGTGGAAAGATTCACCCGGACTTGTTATCTTAGACTAATATTGCTGACCAAAGCATCTCGAAAAGAAAATTTGCAGATTCCTGATTTCGAATCGCAAGACAAACAGAGGCCAATGGCATGGAAACCATTTTCTACCGCCTGAATACAAAATGTATAGCAAACAAACTGGCCTTGCCAAGGCACTAACAGCATCACAAGGACCATTCAAGAAATATAGCTACAACCACATTTCTCAACAATGCAGCATCATGTTGACTGAGAGTTACACAGTACATCCACTGCACAGCAGGAGTCCATCTATCGAACTAACAAAAATGCAATAAAGAATAAGAAAATAAAAAATAACAGAAAAACATAATGCTATACTGAACCCACTGTTAGCTATGTGGTCAAGTAGGGAGAACGGACGATAAAAAGTCATTGAATAGAACTCAATGTAAGTGGTACACCGAAAATAGCACTCCCTGCCATTCATCTTCTACACATTCCATTCAAAAGCATACATAAACATCACCTTGGAGTCCGCAATTAGCTACATTGTTTCTCACAGGTTAAAAGGTTTCCATGTGAAACACAATATGCACATTAAACCTGATAGTTATGAATAAGGGACGGGATTGACCTGTGCATCTCCTCCATGCTACGATCCAACAGGTGCAATTCCCTTTGCCTTGGCTGCAGCAGTTGCTGCTGCAGCTGCTGCAGCGGCAGCAGCAGCCGCAGATGCTGCTGCATTGGGTGTTGATGGAGGAACAGCACCGGATTGCGATGTGCTTTGCGCGGTAACCATTTGTTGTTGTTGTTGTTGCTTCTGCTGAGAGTTTACCTGAGCAAGCAGGGCCTTGATCTGACTTCCAGAGAGTGTCTCATGCTCAAGTAGAGCATTAGCAAGTGCATGGAGCTCCTTGCTGTTCATGGTGAGAATGGTTTTCGCGTTGTTGTAAGCCCTCTCCAAAAATTGTTTTACTTCTTCCTCAATAAGGAGCCTAGTCTCAGTGCTCATGCTCTTGCCGTTATCATCATAGTTGTGAGTAACAAGTCCCACGTTTCTGCTCATACCATACTTTGTAACCATTGCTCTTGCAAGATTGGTTGCTTGCTGCAGATCGGAAGATGCACCTGAAGTCACTTCATTTTCTCCAAAGATGAGCTCTTCTGCTACTCGTCCACCCATGCAAACATCCAAACGAGCAAGCATCTGCTTACGAGATATACTTGTCTCATCCTTGTCAGGTAATTGGGCAACCATACCAAGAGACATTCCACGAGGAACAATGGTTGCTTTGTGAACTGGAAGGGCCCCTTCAGTATGGATAGCCACGAGGGCATGGCCACCCTCATGAAAAGCAGTCAGCCTTCGTGATTCATCAGATATAACAGCTGATTTCCGCTCGCTTCCCATCATGATTTTGTCCTTTGCATGCTCAAGATCAGCCAGTGTCACAGCTTTAGCACCATCCATCGCAGCCTTAAGGGCAGCAATATTAACCAAGTTTGCAAGATCAGCACCAGAGAATCCGGGAGTTCCTCGGGCAATGATAGTCAGATCTACGTCTTCCGCTTTAAGAACCTATCAGCGAAAAAAAAAATTTCGGATTAGAATCCCCTGCTGAAATTTCCTTCTCCCAAAATGTAGAATTGTCTAAGGAATGCGCTAATCAAAGATAATTCAAGTATCAGCCATGCATGTCAGATGGATGTTATCCATATGCGCATCACTATAATGGCCAGTACATCAACCAGTAACTTGGCGTAGGAAAGATTAGCAAAGATCACCCATATATGTCTTCAAGTAAGTTACATATGTAAACTATAAAGAGAAATATTGCAAAAAAGGAAACTTTCAAATGAAGTACATGGTGCAGATGCTTATGTAAATTATGGCATATCAAATGGGAAATTTGCTCTTGCACAAAAGGAAACATCCAAACAGAAGTACACAAAGCAGGAGCTTGCCTACAGCACCAGAATCACGTATAGGTGAGCAAACGAGTAATGACCAGCTAGTATCTCACAACTGATCTGTCAGGGATTGAGCACGGCAGAGAAATACACTTCACCAGGCAAACAAGGGTAGAGAATTTGAAATAAGAGCTTAGTGGAAGGAATTAGATTGATTCATCGAGTTGGTTTATGAAACCTGTGTTGACATGGAATGGGGTGTGGTACGTGGCCAAAAAGAAGAAAGAACAAAGTACAAATCTTTGCACAAATCTACATTGCAAGACTTGAAAAATGTCTTGAAAATGGCCAAGGAAAAACACAAGCCACTAAGCCACTAAAAGACTCAGTAGAATTGTTCTCTTGGACAAAGTCAATCAACAACAGGCAGAACAAAAATAACTTTTTGGAGACATTGCAAGACTTGAAAAATGTCTTGAAAATGGTCAAGGATAAACACAAGCCACTAAAAGACTCAGTAGAATTGTTCTTTTGGACAAATTCAGTCAACAACAGGCAGAACAAAAGTAACTTTTTGGAGTATACTAGGGTCCTAACATATCTTCTTTGGCAAACAAAGCTTCTACTTTTTACATAACATTGCAAGGGCCCCTCCATCTTATTTCTGAATTCATCACATGTATCTTCTTCCATTCCAGATCGCCCTTTGGGAAATATGCACACTAATTCAGAGCCTACAATACAAAATTATCCTCAATTCGCAAACTAAAGCTCTTTGATTCAGTAAGTGAAAGATGAACAAGTGGGACAATTAAATGAAAAAACTGGGGAAAGAGTAAATAAGAAATAGAGGTTTTTATCATCAAAAAAAGCAAAGTACCTTTGACATATGTGATTCCAAGATCTGTCTCCGTCCTTCAACATCAGGATTTGGAACAACAATATGACGATCAAATCGTCCAGGCCTAACCAGAGCCTTATCCAATGACTCCGGGAAATTGGTTGCAGCAATCACAATAATTCCCTCATTCTGCTTGAAGCCATCCAGTTCAACAAGTAACTGATTCAGAGTCATTTTCATGTATTGCTGGTCCTTTGGGTTGCGGCTCCCACCTATGGCATCAATCTCGTCAATAAATATTATACATGGAGACCGTTTCTTTGCAGCAGCAAAGAGATCTCTAACCCTGCGGGCACCAACACCAACAAACATTTCTTCAAACTCACTGCCGCTGCAAGAGAAAAAGGGCACCCCAGCTTCTCCAGCTATAGCCCTTGCCAGCATAGTCTTGCCGGTACCTGGGGGACCAACAAGTAGAACACCTTTTGGGAGCTTACCGCCAAGTCGAGTGAACCGCTGCAATAACATAAAAGGTGAGCATAATGAAGTCTGCAACGCTTCTTGACAGTTTAGGAAGGCTAATCTAAAATCATTAAAATCAAAGTTCTCTCCCAGAAAATAATTCTAATATCATGTCAATTGCTTGTTGATCAAGAACCAAATGAAGGGCAAAATTTAACCAAATTTAGGTAGCTAAATAAGGCTTTGTAGATCCATATGAATATTCTAACTTTTGCTAATGGAAAGAAGGATGCAAGAAAAACTATTAACAACTGCAAATTATAGAAGTTTAGATATTCTGCACAGAAAAACAGAAAAAATGCATGAGTTATTCACTCACAGATTCATGTGATTGGAAAGGGAGGTGAGCCAGCCACCCAAGAGATTGTTACAGATCAGAAAGCACAAGCTGCAATTACCTTAGGGTCTCGAAGATAGTGAACAATTTCTTCAAGCTCAG